AAACTAGAGATCGACTAGTAAACATGAAACGTGTGTGCTAGTGTGATATATACCTTCAAGATAACTCCATCAACAAACTGGTTCGTCTTTTTCAAACTCTGCAACTGAAGGAAGACAATGTCATTAACGATATTTTTTTATATCATTTTAAAAGATATTTTTTGTGATTATCCCTATGACATTGGATGTTTTCTACCTGTCACAACGACATTTTTTCTATTATTTGACATGTTAATGTGGGTTATTTGGGTTTATTTTTCTGTCATTATGAAATTTTTGTTTTATTAATTGTATTTAGTTAATGTTTTTCTTAAATTTTTTACCTATTACTATAACATTTTTATGTTATTTTTCTTGTTATTGTGGGTGTTTGTGGTTCAATTTTTGTGTCTACGTGCCATTGTATTTTTGTTTGCAGTAGTATTCAGACTTGTTACTTTGATCATAATGTGTCATTGTGCTATATGTTAATGGGGGCATTTTCTAATGTCATTGTGTAATATAATGTTGTCATTGTGTGCCAACAGTATCTTTTTGATAGCCTCCTCTATTTGTATAGGAAATTTGTTGTTAATAGATCTCACGCAGTGTCCCCCTTCTTACCCCCACTGCCTTCTAACCTTCGCAAGTATACAATGACAACTTTCGAATACTCATGTCAGATCGTGAAACTGTTTGTTGAACATTCGATGACACCTTGCCCCACGATGACACTTTGCCTCGCCCTGAGCTATATAAGAACAAGATCCCCTTGATCCTTGCTAGATGTGCTTGGCGGTCCCCTATAATACGTTTACTTGGAGACTTCTTACATTATATATGTTTTTTGTTTTCTATGTTTTTAGAATAAAACATAAAGGGTTCAATACTATTTTTATGTAGATATGGTCTTGATATTTACGTGATGAGGTTAGACGTAATAAGGTTAGAAGATTATTACAATTATACTAAAGTTCTGGTGGGGATTATTAATCGGTGGCAAGATTTAAACCCTAACTTCGTGTCGCTATCTTATGTTGTACCTGAACACCCGAATTGTATGTTACAAAATGATGTTGATTTGAAGAATTGAATACCTAGGGAATCTACGAACTCTTCGAAAATTCCTGTTTTAGGTTTCCACTATTTGTTGGAAAACAACCAACCAACCAAGAAAATTTCATACCTTATGTTAGAGGTGTGCTAGCATACCTAAAAGAGGTTATCTTCTAGCTTTTTCTTAAAAAAGAAAGCAAAGAAGGGATTACGAAGGAAGAAAGAGGCATGTCCACAAGCTTGATGTTCAAAGGCCCAGGATCAAAGTCCTCCACCCTAGAACTTTGTTAGAAAAAATAGTTTTAAAAAAGTTTATTTGAGTAATTTGAGTCTTAAATAAAAGTGGGACTCACACCTCAAAATTAGTGGGACCTAGGTTAAACGCATTCTCCTCAGTGAGGAGATTAATGTGGTATATTTATTTGTCCAAAATCATTAAGATTTGAATAAGAAATTATATCTCAAAATGACTTATTTGAAATGATGAAATAAACTATGATTGGTGTAGTAAAATAAGGCTTGTCTCACATTAAAATAAGAGCAATACTTTGGTGAGCAAATATACTTCTAGTTGGCTTTATGAGTTGGGTCCCAGGGGATACCACACTTTTGTGAGCGGAGCAAACACCTACACTACCTTGATTATCACACACGCGTGTCGCTAGCAAGTCATAACCCTATCAGGCTTGGCCCAAAAAGATATAATCTTTTTTGACAAAATTTATTTGGAGCGGTGTTAGTCATGGGTCCAACTAATCGGATCCAAATGTGAATCGAAATTTAAATCTCAACCGAAATTTAAATTCAAACCGAGTTTTAAAATTGTTTCTCGTTATTTCTATGAACTTGGTGCCAAAATGGGTCTGGGTTCATTTCCAAAGAGTCTGTTCATTCCAAGAGGTGCATCTTGCCTGTTCAGATTAAAGAATGTGTATGTTCAATCTAAACAATGGCAACCCATGTCTTTTTAGACAATCTGAACAGCCACCAAAGGTCTATAAATTGATTGCTTCTTTGCTATTTCATTTCATCCCATTTTGGTTTCAAGTTTTAGAATTTCTTCTCTCTCTCTCTACATGTTGTTACATTATTCTTTTGATTCGGTTCAAGTATAAACACAAATTGTGTTTGCTGGAATCTTAAAGATTAAAGTGATGTTTCTTCAAAAAAGTAAAATTTGTTCTATCTTGAGAGACAAATGTTCATCGACTTTGAGCATCGAGAGGGAGCAAATATGTTATAAGGAGATTGTGTTTCACAAGGCTTGGATTGAAATTTTGATTTTTCTTATATATTATTCGTGCTGATCTGCATCCCTTTGAGTGCACTAGTTTTGATTTTTACACATTATGTTTAGATTAGTGCATAAGTTAGACTTTATACAGTTTAATATAATATAATTATATACAAATTTTTCTATAACAAATTTGTCACTCTATTTTCATTGGTCACTCCTCGATTAGAGCATGACGATTCAATTCAGATTTGGCAATCAATTAAGAAGAACCAAGCTCAAGAGACAGCTTTGACTCTCCCCCATGGGTTCTGAGAAGAGTTGGTTTATGGGGCATCAGGCTAGCTCGCATATGTTTTGTCTTGCTAGTGCATTTTGACTTAGTTATTGAAATATATATGTTACGCATAGAGAATGATTCTTATTGTCTGGATGAGAATGAAGTGAGAATAACAATGGAATGATTTACTATCTTCATTTTGTCCTCATAATGAAAGAGTTTTATTATCGGATGGATGGTCTAAAGAAATTAATGAAACAGATTAGAAATTTGAAGGGAGTGTAATACAATTTCGGAATGCACTATATAAATATTCAATTGAGGTCGGGTTTTAGTCTACTTACATGAAAAATGGCATGTCAAAAGTTACTGTTAAATGTGCTTCAAAATATGCTACTGGATGTCAATGGCATGTTTATGCTTCAATTCAGAGGGGTTAATGGATATTTTTACATATAAAAACTCATCAACGAACACATCTGTGGAGCTGTTGTACACACGGACAAGAACAAGCACATGTCTTATAATCTAGTAGTTAATCTTATTATTGATAGCTAACTTTTAATTATTTCAATTTTTGTTCTTCAACTATCAACTTAGTACCATTTAAGTCATTCTATCAATTTCAATCATTAGAACAAACGGAAACAACCCTCATGTTTGTCACCACGTCATGTGTCACATGCTTTTTTTTTTAAACGATTGAAATTAATAAAAAGATTTAATTAAGGAAAAATGGATAATTGCAGGACTAAAATGAGATAATTAAAAGTTTTGAGACTATATTTAAACAAGATATAATATTTAAAGACTACTTGTGATATTTATCCTTAAAAAATATTTAAATTAAAATAAAAGATGTTTAAAAAATTACTTAAAAGATATTAAATAGGTGTCCTAGTTTCATATACTTTTGAGCAATATTGCATGAACTTTATTTTGTGATTTGGCCAATTATTGTTATTGATTTAATTACACATCTCAATATTTATTAGGACTCATTACCTATTCAATAATTATAGTTGATCAAACCAATAAATTAAGTCAAGATTTTAAGTTGAAGTAAATTCACGCCCTTTTGTATGGGTTACATGACCTCATATGAGACAAAATGAAAACTAACTAAGATGCTGAATGAAAGGGGAAAACAATTCTGAAGCGATTTCTTTTGTTTCCTTCTGGATATAATGATCAATTCGTTTTATTGAGCGGCATATTTTTCATGTTTTGTCGCCGTAGAATTACAATTTTAACAAATACGTTTTCATTGACCACAAACCAAAAACACTTTACAAATCCGTCGACACAGACACGGACACGGACATAAATAAAATCAAACACATAACCACATGATTTACATATTCTTTTCCTTTTTATTTAAGGGGAGATGATGAGTTGCGTTCGTCAGGGTTGTGATTCTCCCTCGGTGGCATGAAAATATGATCTGATGGTCAAGTCTAGCGACTCACTGAATTGGCAATTTGGTTCTCCTGGAAACCGTAACCCTAATTTCTTCTCACATTGGTTGATTCAGAGGCTCTATTTGATTTCGGAACCCTAACGCTAGCCCTATTTTCTGATTTATTTCTAAGTTGTATGTTCTTTTAATTTGGTTATTCAAATTGCTAAGTGATTCTTTAATTTAAATTCATTAAGCTTCCTTGTTAATTTTTTGGGTATTGATGATATGTGTTTATGGTCAATAGAGGAATTATGATGGATTGCAGCAGAGTTTTTATTTTCTTTTGTGATTCCAAATCTCTTGATGATACTTGGACTTCTGTCTAGAAAGGAAATTGATATAAGAACTAGGAAAATTAATCAATGAGTGAAATTCAACAAATGTACTCACTTGAGCTCATAACTTGCATATTTTGATACCTTGTGAATTATAGTTCTGTTGTCTTTTCTATGTCAGAAGGATTCCATTATTTGGATGCAAAGGCTTCTTCATGCCAGCTAGGAAATTTTTTTGCAACTTATTTTTAGCAATGCCTGTTGATTTTATAAGACATGATATATATGTCACTGGGACAATAATTATTTCTCCCCTCTTAACTATGCAATTGTTGTTTTATTGGCTCACGTTAAATTTCCATGTCCAAAGAACAACGAGAAATTTATTACGACTAAAATACTGGTAATAACATCAACTATCTTCAAGTAATTGATTGTGGCCTGGGTTATAACCAATCTTCTGTTTGTATGCACACACACATGCACACAGATGGGGTCGTGAACAGAGCAAAAACAGGGCCCAGTAACCTTTATTGTTGTGATAGCCGATTAAGGAAAAAATACCAAAATGCAGAATGTTGGGATGAGCAAAAATAAAAGAAGAATTGGACACGGTGTTCTAGACAGCAAGTTAAGTTCATTGCCAGAAAATAATTCCTGTGGTTCGAGCTTAAAGAAAGTGGTTGGAAAACAACATCTAGAAAGTAATACCGGATGACCAGTGCCTGCTATATCGAATTTTTGCTACTGGACTTTTGCAGTTTTAAACTAACACGCAAAAATTATTGGTGTCCCCCCATTGAAGTGAATAGAGCCTATGAGAAAGACAATGTTGGAAATTGTTGGACTGTACTCCAGTGGCCTTCTTATTTTGTCAACTCTATATTTCCCAAGTGGGATGAAAGCTTTGTTGAGCTAAGTTTTAAGTTTCACAAGGGCAGTCATATAGCCTCCATTTCCGTGGTAGAAGTACTGAGGGCCATTGCGAGTCAATCAGGTGGGGCTTGCATGTCCTATGTTAGGGCTAGGACAGGGCTTTATCGAGTAAATTGAGATAATTTCTTCACTTTCCTCGTGAGCCCTGGATGTGAACCAATTTGATGTGTCAGTTGGTATCAAGAGAACGAAAGTCCTGAACTCCTGATAAATAGGTCATCTGGAGCCTGCTGAACACAAACTTGCAAGCTCCATCTCCTTTTCAGATTGAAAGGTGTCTAAATACATGCAAAATATCTTCATTTGTATGTTTAAGCTATCTTTACATCTTTGTTTGAAGAAGAGTGTGTGCATTTTCTTTTTTGTTGGGGTTATTGGTGGCATGGAAATGATAACAGATGATATTGGATTTCCGGTTATGAGAAAGCGGATGAGATTTAATCATTATGCATCTGACTTTATTAAAAAAGAAAACATAGGAAGATGGGAGTTCTGAATGGTAATGGTGTTTGTGATCCACTTTCAGATTTCAATTATGCCTTTTCTTGTGGTGGACTTTGGAG